TTGAAACTAGTCTCTCCATGTGAGCAGATATTGAATTTACCATTTTCTTTTGCTATTTTAACTTAATCCATTTCAGTTGTGCAATTAAACTTTGTTATCCAGAGAAAAAGGAACCATTTTTAAAAAAGGATTCTTATAATGGGTCTGCTTTATTTTTGGTTTTTGCACACTTAAACCGATAAATACCTCACCTCCAAAACGTGAGAAATAAATTACCAGAACAAAAATTAAGCTAGGCAAATATAATTTAAAATTGCCCAAGTAATATTTTAATAAATACAACTTAGAGATGCTTTCTATCTAGAAAACCCATGGCATTTCTAGCTATTTGAGGAATATCAGTTTCAGTGACATTAACACAATAAACATATAAAACACAAAGATTATTTTCTGCTTATGTAAAGTGAATTCACTTTAAAATGTATCTCAATGCTGTCTTTGCAGTATCACCTCTTTTTCAAAATACCTTACTTAGACCTAAAACAGCAACCCGACTTCACAAAAATGTAGTTTAAAGAGCTATTTGAATAATAACCAATTATTCTTAGCTAACAGAAGCAAATCTTGATAATGTGGATCTATATGAAAGCAATAGTGAATTTAGGGCCGGCCCGTGGCTCACTCGGTAGAGTGCGGTGCTAATAACACCAAGGCCACGGGTTCAGATCCCATATAGGGATGGCTGGTTGGCTCACTGGGTGAGCGTGGTGCTGACAACACCAACTCAAGGGTTAAGATCCCCTTACCGGTCATCTTTAAAAAAAAAAAAAAAAAAAAATAGTGAATTTAGAATTCCATATAATGGATAGGATTAGGAAGAATTTCGTATTGAGAAAATAAGAGCTGCTGGGAAAAGAAAATACTCACTAATGAGTAGCTCGAGATAGTCTAGTAAATGAGAATACTGTTACATAATAGTCTCTTTTACTTGGCTGTGATTACCTAAAATAGCTCTAGTAGAGTTTTGTTTTTTGTTTTTTTAAAAAAAGAACTGAAACTGATAACTAGTATCTTGCTTTCTATACCAAAGATTTATATGTAGAGTCACTTTCTAGGGAACAAAAAAATAACCTTTAACAATTATGACAATAATTTGGCTTCTGAATTTAAAGATGTTGCTACTGATTTGTGCTATTTCTATTGGCCTATAAATGGGTACTAAACCCATTCATAACCCCTACCTATTTGAAACTTAGCAACGAAAAACAGATAAAGCTAATTGTACAAACTTTTTTTTCCATTTTTAGTTTTAAAAATCAGAACGGCTAATCTTAAGTGATAAAAGATGACATTAATAAACATGAGAGAAAAAAGTATTCCTAACTCCTGAAAAAAATATGTATACATATAAACTTGAGTTTTACAGAACATAAACTCTCTTTGGTTCTCCCCATATAATTAACAATTATCACTTTTTTTTCTAAACTCTTTGGTTCTCCCCATAAAATTAACAATTATCCCTTTTTTCTGGCTGTTTTTCTTTTGCTCTTAGAATTGCTTAAGGATGGGGCCGGCCCGGTGGCGCACTGGATAGTGCGCTGCTTGGGAAGTGCGGCGGCGCTCCCGCCCGAGGGTTCGGATCCCACATACAGACCAGTTCCCGCTCGCTGGCTGAGCGAGGCGTGGGAGCAACACCGAGGCTTGCAATCCCGTTGCCAGTCCCCGGTCCGGTACGGGGGCAACACTGAGGGTTGCGATCCGTTGCCGGACACGGAAAAAAGACAAAAGACAAAAAAAAAAAAAAAAAGAATTGCTTAAGGATGAAATGAATATTATTACCTAATTTAGGAAATGGCAAATATTCTAATCATTGCTTTACTAACATGCTGGAGAAACAAAAGTTATGTTTTTAAACTCTAAAATAAAACATAAATAAATGAGAGAGTCTACATAAACCCAAAAGAACTCAAATTAAATCAAGTGGCCATAATTTTTTCTTTTAAAACTATTGCCATATTGACTCTGTAGAATATATCCTCTCTACATTTCAAACATACCACCCTAACGCATACTGACCATGACACTAAAACTCTGTATGCATGCAAAGTTTATGTGCCAAGATGTAAATTCTATCTCATATAAAAATAAAAGATTTTAAGATATTTAGATTCATTTATTACAGGGTTGGAAAAACTATTCAGGTCTGGCAATTCATATATTACCAAATGATCCTTCTGTTTTCATGAAATACCAAATGCAAAGGGGGCCTCCTGAAGAGCCTCTGCAAGAGGCTTATTCAAATACGAGAGAAGATACCCATAAACCTGTGTGTAAAAAAGCAAGCACAGAAAGGACTAGGTATATAATAGAGCACTAACTATAAGGGAATGCTCAGTAACATAAAAAAATGGAATGTGGAGACGTATTTGGAGAACTATCACAACAGAAAACTCATGAGTCTGAATTCCATTTTTTAATGCTGTCATTATGCAAAAATGATTACATATAATAAATATTAAATAAATATTTACTGAATAATAATTCTTTTGTATCCTCTCAATGACTATTCACAGGATACATTAGAGATATATCTGTTGATTGACCAACATAGGGTAATAAAAATACATTTTCCATTTAGTATTGTTACTGGTGGATATTCTTTAAGCTGAAGTGTCAAAAATCAGTTCCTCTTGAGACCAAGAAATTTAAGTGCAGTCGACGGCTGTACTTTTGGAAGGAAAGCAACTTCCTTGCTTTAAGGAGCTGCTCTTGATAACCTAGCTTGCTTTTAGATACACAGAGCAAACGACAAACAGACCCTGATTATCTGCAGTCTATGTATGCCCGCTGGAAACTAAATAAATCTTAGAGACACTCATTTTCTCTTTATTTAAAGGCCAATGTCTTTACTTTAGGGGACAGAGTGATCACCAACTCTTGGTTATGGAGATAGCCAGACATGCCTATTCTTCCATGCCTCGTTGCTTCAAGTGTGGTCCCAGAAGCAACAGCACTGGCATCACCTAGGAGCTTGTTAGAAATGCAGAATCTCAAGTCCCACCTCAGACCTACTGAATCAGCATCTACATTCTAGCAAGACTCCCAGGTGGTTGAGAAGCACTGCTCTAATGGACAGAACAGCAAAGCAAGTCAGAAGACCCAAGTTTAAGCCTCAGACCTGTGACTGATCATATGTTTAAGAGTGGGCAAGGTAGCGTTTTTTTTAGCCTTGGTTTCCTCAACTATAAACTGGAAGTAATATTACTCATTTTACTTATGTACACACCTACCAAAGAGGGTTGTTTCGAGGATCAAATAAAATGATGAATGTTAAAACTCTTTGTACATTATAAAGTACTATACAAATACAAGGCACTATTGTTAATAATAAAGAGCTTAATTATACCTGTCTTCATTTGATCTCTCACAAACCATCAGAGACATGTTATCAGATTCTACATTATTAAGACAAAAGGCTTATTTATGTGTCACAAGCCTTTCAAGGCCCTAATCACAATGTAGCTAAATCTTTCTGTTTTCATTAAAAACTAAATGCCAGGCCGGCCCGGTGGCTCACTGCTACAGTGCGCCGCTTGGGAAGCGTGGTAGCGTTCCTACTGAGGGTTCGGATCCCACATGCGGAACGGCCGCTCACTGGCTGAGCGAGGTGCGGGAGCAACACCGAGGGTTGCGATCCCGTTGCCGGTCCCGGTCCGGTATGGGCGCGACACTGAGGGTTGTGATCCGTTGCCGGTCACGAAAAAAGACAAAAAGGAAAAAAAAAAAAAAAACTAAATGCCAAGTGGGCCTCCTAAAGAGACTCTATCTGTAACACTACTATTATCTTGCCCCAAACACTTGGGTTTATTCTTACAATCCATTCTTTTGGGGGCTTTACTATAATTTCCAAAATAACAAACTAACTGGTTTAACCCACAGCCAAGACTGAGAACCTGAGTTGCCCCGGAAAAGGCTGCTTTTGCTTGAGTTTCTGGCTTTTCTGGCCCATTTAGCAATAGCCCCTTCTTCTCCAAAGCACAGAACATGGTTAAAGGCTACATTTACATGCTGTATTTTATGTTAAGGGAAGAAGCCAGTGCCCTACCTTTCTCCCTAATGCCCCCTTATCTTAAAAGAAGACCACAAATCTTAAAAAATGAAAACTTGTTAAACTGTTAGTTGACAGTATCCAAAGGTTATTTATACTTTTTCCTTAAATATCAAATGAATGCCAGGAAGCTTCAGATAACCAGGGTTTTCTTAACCAAAACTGGTTGGCTTTAAAAATGAAAATCTCAGTAAGGAGTCAACTTAGAAATTTCTATCAAACCTGGGAAATCAATTAGCATCATAAAATGCTACAGCCATTAGCATTATAGCTGGGACCTTAAAGTGACTTTCTAGCTGCTCACCGAAATCCTTTTTCAACCCTGAGAAAGCAGGCCTTACTCTCCTGTCTAAGTTGGATATGCAGTCCCTACTTTTCCATCACAACACGTGCCTTATTGAGAATTCAGACTCCATGCAAGGGAACAGAAAAGGATTAACACATGCAACTGTGCAGCAACACTTTTAGATACAGTTTAACTTAAAAAAAAAAAAAAAAAAAAAAAAAAAAAAATCTGCCCAGCACAAGAACAATCCCCAAGTCAGCCCAAGAGCAGAGAATTAGTACTATCAGGTGATCAGAAACAAAACCAAGGCAAACTCCCACCAAATTCAATATTCAAAGTAATTATCATTAAAAGAACCACCACTGAAGAAAATTCAAAAACCACTATCAAGAGGCAAAGGCTACCAGAAAAGCTCTCATTATTTCCTCAAAAAGTAATTGATTGTAATAGAAATGGGCAAAAAATAGTACCTCTATGGACAGTTTTTCAGGCTAAGGCTACCAGGAGACTTAAGTTCATTCTCCATTAAGAAAATGAAAGAACAGTGTGTGGTATCACTGAAAACCAGATAAGCAATTTGGGCGAGGGCTCATCTATGGGACAGGGAAAGTATGGGAGCAAGGTGCCCTTTTCCTAATAGTTAGCAGATTCAGGATGAACTCCTACCAGTCTCTGCTGCTCCAAGAGAAGATCTGCTTCTTCTTTCTCCTTTTTGTACAAAATCTCCATTTCCTGCAGCCTAGAAGGGAAAAAACAAAATAAAACAAAAAACCCCCAGAAAGAATAAATTGTGAAATCACTGAACTATTTCATGAATGCTACTACATGTTTAAAAGAAGAGTCACGTGGGCCACATAATATTTGTGCATTACCTTTTCTCCATCTCTTGCTTCATATCAATTCCTTGTTTTTCCAGAAGCTCTCTCTGGGCAAACGTCCAGTCCACAGGCTCAGATGGGGTCTCAGCAGAAGGAGTCTTTTCCCGCTCAGCCCGTGCTTGTTCCGGGTGGTTAAAACGAAAAACATGGTTTTTACCCATGATGATACGGTTTCCTAACACAAAACAGAAATCAGGTTAAGACATCAATTTTTAAATGTATAGCATCTAGTTTAATAACCCCATTATCTCTGATGGAAGACAGCTTTTAGAGATTTACAAGAACATAAATCCTAATGCTATCACTTCAGCCTTTAAACAAGGAGTCAAAAATTATGAGTTGCTCATACAAACCATGTGTACATTGCTCAAGACTTTAAACCCCTCTCAGTCTCACCTGAACGCAGCTGGACAGGCTGGGCCACCCTCTTGCCATTTACATAGGTTTCTGAGCGTTCACAAGGCTCTAGAGTCACAATAACTAGAAGGAACACAAACTTATGTTATCATCGCAAACCACTGGAATCAAATAATGGAAAGCAGTTGACTCTCAGGATTCATGGTAACCAGAAGAGATTCCTGCCACCAATCAAGTGGCTAACATCTATACAGCTGTTCACTTCAGGGTACCAAAACCAGATCCAATATAAGAGGTTAGTTTGGGGCTGTGGCTATGATACGAACATTTAACTGAATTTGAAAACCTCAGAAGAAGAAGACAGGAAATGCTAGTTTTAGTGATACCTGACAGTTCAAGAAAACTGAAAATCATCAGAAATCTTATGTATGAGACAGGTAATAACTAGAAACTAAAGAGTAAAAGCTAATATTTTCACTAAGGAAGGAGTGAATTATATAGCACAAAAATACCATTAGAGTATTGTTTTGTTAATAACCTGGGCAAAATTAAAATTGACTGTTTCTTTCCTTTTAGATAAAAAATAAATTCTACTGAGTTAAGACCTGAGGTCCTTCAAATCTCCTATTACCCAGGATATTAGTTCTCTTCTTACTTTTCCATTAAATAATTAAAATTCAAGACCAAGCCTAATTGCCTATGTCCTGCTCACTTCTTGGCAGTAACAAACGGGCTCCTTTTGTCCATCCAGGCTATTTTCATGTAAAGTAGCTATGTCCATCCCTGAATTTATAAGCAGCCCAGGTTTTTCCATTTTTCAATATTAGATTCTACAAGAAAATACCACTGGCAGAGACAGAATACCAAGTCTTAGGGATTTCTCATAACATAGAATGAAAAAAGTTATTGGAGAAGCTCAAATCAGAAGCTCTCACCTTCACCACTGCTGTTTCTCTCACTCCGGAAGATACAATGCTCTTCTTTAATGTGAGCCCCACTCAGCACTATGTCCTGGCGCCGCTCAGCATCTGCTTGGCCAACCCTGAACACAAGAGAAAGTGTTTCCCAGGGAAATTTAGACACAAAAAGCGCTACAAACAATGAACCTCTTTCTCTCAAAGAATATCCTTTTGGTACATATAAAAAAGATATCGCCTTTTTGTATCAGAAGCTTTCAACTGCGAATTCTATTCTCATATATGATCAACCTCCCTCCATCAGAATAAGAAACCAACAACAATATACCAATGTAACTCATACAGCATTATAAAAAGACATGAGTGAACTAAATAAACTCCCTAATGAATTTATATAAGTTGTTAAAATGAACATTTTTATTCAGGGTCTTTTAGAGAAAAACTACAGGTTAACTGGTTCTGCTGCTAAAACACTTATATAATTTGGAAAGAGTAGAGAGGACAGTTTGTAACTATTTCAGACAGGAAAAACATCAAATCATTACAATAAATTTTTCAACAAACAACTTCCCTTTGGTTATTCAATCATCTAAGAGAAAAGAAAACACAAAGTTACCAAAACAAGAAACAAATATACCTTGTAATTCCATCTTTGATGTAATAAAGCAGGCATTCAGACATTAGTGGGTCTTCATTGAGGTTAACAAGATGTGGGGTCTGAAAAAGAGTACAGATTATCAGTTTGCAGCAAGGCACCAGGAAAGGGGCTGTGGCAACATCAGGGACCTACAGGAGGCCAAGCTTCTCCAATTCCCCACAGTGCCTGAAGAGAGACTTCTTTTTTCCCAGTTGCAATACCATAATAAACAGAAAACTCTCTCTTCAGGTCTTCCCAAACTGTACCAATGCATTCTATTTAAAACCATTAGTTCTGGCATAAAGAACAAGACCCAATTATTGGTTAAAGGTTAAAACACAAAGGAAAAATTAGGACAGGTTGATTCTCTGGACGGGTTAATTGCAATGTTTGTAAATGCTTTGACAAAAGTCTCAAGAAAGATTTAATTTTACTAAAAAGCCCCCAAACCCCCTGCCATTTCCTTCTGTAATTTTCATCAGTTTTTCCATGGTCCCAGTTATTGTCTTTATTAGTCTTTCCTTAAAGAAAAAATTAAATTTATGTACATTCAACAATATAAATATCTTCTAAAAGACTTCTTCATCTAACTCTAATGTTTCTAAAATTGTTTAAAAACCAACCTTCTTTGGTGAAAATACCCCACTGGGATCCAAAAATAAGTCACATGGTCTTGGGGCCAAAATCTACTCAAGATAGTGCCAGCAAATGTGGAAAAATGAAAGAAGAGTCAGATGAAGGGATTAAGAAAACGGACTGCAAAAGATGATTAAAAGAAATTAGAAAAACTTCAACATTTTCTCAACTAGCATCTATCTTTGAAGTTTAAGAACTGTGCTGGTTTGAGAAAATCAAAGCCCTCTGTGGGCAATGTTCTTTAAAGCCAGTCCATCTGGCCTAAGAAAAAACAAATCTCAGAAACAGGTTCTAAAACTGAGTTTGGATGTGGTCAGTGGTATATTCCTTCCTTTCCTGAGGAAGTCTAGAAAGTCAAAGCAAGATAGGTAAAATTAAAGAAAAGGCTTTGAGATCTCAGTTTGGAATGCTGCACTGTTTATATCACACTTGTTCAGGTTATTTATGATTCACGTTAAATGCCATAATATTTTCACATGTTGTTACAAGTATTTTCCCCACAGTTTTTAACAATGAAAGATTTTATGAAATACCCTTGATATATGCAAAGGCACAATTTAAATTCTATCAAAACTATGACTTCTAAAATCTCTATAATCATAGGTAACATATCTGAATGAATATGTATCTTACTAAAGGAAAAACTATTAAACTATGAAAACCACTGACCTTTCACAATATTAACATAAAATATTCATTGTTCTAATTCTACCATATGTATCTAAAACATCGTTAAATCAATCTTTTTTGTTCAAAATAGCACATTAGAATTTGTAAAAAAAAGTTATGTGACCATGACAGAAAAACCTAACCAAAAGAATCCTAGCAAAAACCACTGGAATATTTCATATCACATTAAACAAAAGTACCAATTAAAAACTCCCCACCCCTTCTATCCTAACCTAGAGGGACTATAATCAGAACCCATGCATGAAGATGTTTAAGTCTCTAATAGCCAACTTGAGGTCATTTGAAATGAAGGGTCATTTATTAGTAGTATAAAATATATGCTTTGTACATTAATATATTGGTCTACTATTGTCATATAAATAAGCACACAAAATAACCATTTGAAAATAGTTTTCTAGCATCCAATACTAACTAAGTAGCAACTTAGTTAGAAAAACCTTCCTATTCTAATTAGCTAAAAAGCCTTTCTATTCTAATTAACTACTTTATGTAACTAGGAAGGTAACTACTGGGGTCGTTATTAAAAAAACAAGCAAAAGGGAGCAGAGGAGTCTAGAAGGGTAAAAACAGGAACTGCTTTACTCAGGGCAATGGTTGTACAAACTATGGAAGTAAATGAAAGCAGTATTATTCTACACAAACCTGAACAGCTGAGATTGGTTCCGAAAAGTTATAAGGCAGGGTTGATGACTTCTGTGACAAAATCTACATAGAAAGAGTAGCCAAAACTGAAGCAAGGTATGCTACGTTAGGCTGGGAATTTATGAGAAACCAACAAAAAAGATGACTAAGCATACGGAATCATTACCAAAAGTTATAGATTTACTGCCTTAGATTTTTTCTCTTGTAAACAGTAAACATGATAAGCATTTTAGAAATAAGCTGCCCTTGTAAGATGAAATAGAAATACCTGAAATTAAGCCAAGTGTCAAGATAAAAAAGGGAGGGGGAGGAGTCAGCCCTGAAAGACATGAGGTGCCCCAGCAAGTAAGACAGACAAAAAGCGTTTCCATTTGGTTGAGTTTTACAATGTTGGTTGTTTCCTACCTTTTTAGGTGAGAAAACCCCCAGGGTTCCTCCATCTTCCCGAATGGCAACTCCCATCTCAGCCAACAAGGCCTCTCTAGAAAAAAACAAGTACATCAGAATATCAATACCAAAATGTCAATGAAATTAGTCTAATACGAACTGGAAAATAAAGTATGCAAAGCAAAAACAATTGGCCATATTTAAAGTCAGTAATACAAGTGTAAAATAATGTGCTTATCTCATCATGAATGAGAAATTATTAGTAAGAAAAACAACACATTCAAAATAAATTATGCTCCTATGTTAGATAAACTTATATTCACTCGGATAAAAACTGCCTCATCTGACTTTGGAGACAGATAATAATTCATAAATAATATGTCTATTAATATAAAAAAGGAAGGGGAGATATTCTTTAAAGCCGTATATCAACCCTGAAGAACCATTTCTTCAGAATCTAAGAAAGCAATCAGAAAATAACTTTGGTATATGAGTATGGTCTATAAGTGTGATTTTCTCAAATGTTATACTACATGTCCTCCATCATTTTGGCACAATAATTCTAGTTTTAAATTTCCATAATAAATAAGAAAATTCTAATTGTTTGTTACACACACTATATCAGTACATTAGAACTCCCTTCTGCCTCATATTCCATAAAGGGGAAGACATGAACAGACATTTTTTAAATGGATGTTTATTCCAATAGAAAAAGCAACATTTTGGGTTATGCTCATCTTCAGGTTAGAGAACTGATAGAGGTTAAGACAGAATAGGGCTTTTTAAAGTTTGCAACCCAAACCGCCCACCTCTTACCAAAGAGGTTCTGGAGAAGATAACTCTGAAAGTCAATAATCAGAGGAGCTACTTGGAGTTGGGCCTTCATCAAAGGCAGTCTACTTTTTGCAAATGAAAAACTCCATCCCTCAATATGACCCATTTTTTACGGGTCCCTAGCAACATGTAGTATGGTAATTATTAACCACACAACTCCGTAGAGAACATTTAAAAATGTGTATTTCACTTCAAAGTGTAAATTCAACTGGCCATAGTCCCCAGCAAGGCTTATTTTTTCTTTAGTGTTTTAGCAGGGGAGGTTCTTTGTTTTTAACTTCTATTTCATCTTTTCTTACGATAAAAGTAAATCCAAATTCCCTTGAAAACTTAGAAACATTCCAAGATTTTAACCTCCTGACCTCTCCATTCTGATGGCCTCTGTTTTTCGAAGCTTCTCTTCCCAGGTTTCATTCAACTCAGCGATGATCTTCTCTGATTCCTAAGGAAAGAAGAGCACAGATGAAAAGTGACGAAGACTCTTCTAATTTCACATACCCTGTCTAGAAAGGAAAGCAAGAACCAGATTATGCCGTTTGAGGATAAGATGCAGAATCTAACGTGATGAGGTTTTTTTTTCTTTCTTTTTTTTCTTCTTTTAATATGTAAGGTAAAAATAATAAAGACTAGTCCTAAAACTAAATCAACCCCAGACATATAAATCCTCCAAATCCTAATAAAAATACCTTAACAGTGAGTCTGTGTGTGTAAAAGGAGAAGGGTAATATTAACACCCCAAAATGCAAGAAACTTTTTTCTGACAACCACTTCTATAAAAGAATAAAGTCTCAAAGGTATTCATTGCTTTTGCTTTGGTATAATTTCAACATAACACAATACCTTAATTAACACAACTCAGTAGTCAATAAAATAAGGCTTAGTATTAAATTTCATCTGAAGGCATCTAGCCACTGAAGTGACAATTTACTTGCTGAGTGTTCATTATATTATAGAAATATAAGAAATAAAACATGTTTTTTGCTTACTATATACTAGGGAGAAAAGTAACTGAAGACTTATTCAACCAACAGTTATATGTAACCTCATTATATGCCAAACCCTGTGCTAGGCAACCAGGGATATGGCAGGATATAAACTCCTGCCTTCATAAGACTTACATTCTCCTAAGAAGACTGAGATAATCAATTTTAACCAATAAGTACATAGAAAGTGAGATAGTAGTCGGTGCTTTGGAGAAAAATAAAGAAAGGAAGGGAAAGAATACAGGAGGATGGTAGGTGAAGGAGCAATTTGTAGTGAAGTTGTCAGGACACGCCTCACTGACTAGTTATGAGGGAGTTGTGACACAGGAAGAGCAGGAGCTGCGATGTGAGTACATAGGGGAATAAGTAGGAAAGTGCCTGGAGTTTCCTACGAACAACCGTGTGGCTAGAGCATCATGTTTGAGGACTGAAAATTGGTATGACAGAAGTTAACAACAGAACAATACACTAAGTGCTAGAACTGGAGTATTCACAGGAATCTGTAAGGTAGATGAATCAGAGATAAGAGATGCCCATATAGATGAATGAAAGACAAGTAGGAATTGATTAGGCAAAGAATGGAGGGAAAAGGAGTACCAAAAAGGGGGATGAGCAGATGCAAAAGGAGAAAACGTGAGTCATAGAGACAAAATTGGAAAGTGTTATGATGATGATGATGACATGACAGTAGCGATGGCAGTAACAGTAGTGATTAACAAGGAAAAGTCTTATAGTTCACAAAAGACAGCTCACTGAATGGTTCATTTAACAGGGTACTATAAGAAGCCTCTGGGATTCCAAAATCTAATTATCTACATAGAAAGAAACTATGAATAGTATAATACAATAAACCCTAAGGTGTCTAGTATTTGGTTTTCTGGAATTCTTGGGCTTCCAGAATAATTCCATAATTGGACATCTCCTCAAAAACAAAAAATATACCAAAGGCAAGGAAGCATGTAAAAAAGCCAGGAGTAAAGATTCAAGGCAGTAGTTGCAAAAGCAAAGAAGTACAGGAGTCAGGAGAAACAAATAGGAGAGCATAATAAAACAATAACAACTAGCAAAGCTAGGCAAATATCTAAACAGATAAAAGTTAGGAAAGGCATGGGCATCGGTAATGTTTATATAAAGGCAGACACATAGGAGATATTCTTTCAGAAAAGAAAAGAGCCAGTTATAAAGTGGAAGAAACTAGAACAAGTCTGCAGTGGGGGTAGGAAGGTGAAAACACCTAAACTGGCTGTCATTAGCCCTCAGAACACACACCAAGGCTGAAAGGCTAAAACAGCTACCTGAATGGCATCTCTATACAGTTCTCAAGTGGTAATGATTAGTATGCAGTGCACATGCACTCCAAAGCTAAGAGGGGAACCAACAGGCCAAACTAGAGGGCCAGCAACCATGACAATTCCATATAATCCTGGCAAGGAGTGAGAAAGCCAAGAAAGGCCATGTGCCTGGTACCAAGTAGTCAATAGCATATCTATCAAGCACCACGAGTTATTCAACAACGACTGACAGAGTGGCGTTAAATGCTTCTGCATATGACTTTATCAGCACCACACTCTTCCAAGTGAGCCACAGGCCGGCTCTCATATGGCTTTAAATGGGCAACTAGAAGACAAGCTGACATCATAACCTACATGATTTTAAGGCTCATTAAAGATAACTGGGTAGAAATCTTTATAATCTCAAAGTGAAGACTATAAAAACAAAGGAAATGGACAACAGGATGCACTGGACCAAACCAAAGCACCTAGACTAGTATTTATAGTGTGGCCCACAAACCACTTATGGTGGTTAGGGAATACAAAGTTACCCATGAGATATTTAAAAAAAAACTTTTTTTCCTTGTTGTTTACCTTCAGAAAAAGATCATTTTAGAGTAGAGGTTTATCTGGTCGTATTAAAACTATCCTACTTTAGGGCAACTGTAGAACTCATCCTAAGGAAGCAAAGTTACTGTCTACAAATCCTTTTACCATTTTGCTGCCAACTCTAATGTGACTTCTATTTTATCTGTCACTTGGAGTGTAAATCAGAACATGATCTCTTTGTAGAAAGGAGATTAATGAATAAGCTGAGTACTTTTCATTACAGCTTCAAGTTGCAATTTTTATGCTGTCTAGAAAGCTATTTTTAAAAACTATGAGGACGGGGCCGGCCCGGTGGCGCACTGGATAGTGTGCCGCTTGGGAAGCACGGTGGCGCTCCCGCCCGAGGGTTCGGATCCCACATGCAGACCGGTTCCCGCTCACTGGCTGAGCGAGGCGCGGGAGCGTCACCGAGGGTTGCAATCCCGTTGCCGGTCCCCAGTCTGGTACGGGGGCAACACTGAGGGTTGCGATCCGTTGCCGGACACGGAAAAAAGACAAAAAGACAAAAAAAATAAAATAAAATAAAACAATAAAAACTATGAGGACGAGTTAGAGAAAATGATAACTGAGTGTCATATTAGCAAAACTTCAGTACTAGAAAAGGCCTGGGAAACCATTTATTCTGGAACCATTCTACAGATAAGGAGACTGAGGAAAAGAGAAGCTAAGAGATTCACCTGAAGCCACACTACTCCTTGAGCCAGGTCTAGAGCTGAGTTTTCCTGACTCTTACTGTCCTTTCTTTATTTTTTTTCCCCCCTTTTTGTCTTTTTTACTGACCGGCAATGAGATCGCAACCCTCGGTGTCGCGCCCGTACTGGGGACCGGCAATGGGATTGCAACCCTCGATGCCGCGTCCGCACCGCGCTCAGCCAGTGAGCAGGAACCAGTCTCCACATGGGATCCAAACCCTCGGCGGGAGCGCCACCGCGCTCTCAAGCAGCGCACTTCTCCAGTGCACCACCGGGCCGGCCCTTACTGTCCTTTCTTTAAATAAGACAGAATAAATAGGCTTTCAAGTAAATATTCTACAAAACAGCTCACCATAAATTAAGAAAAAGTAAAGGATATTCTGTTCAAGCCCAAATAACAAACTTAGTGTAAATAAAATAGAGACACCAACAGGAAAACAGCAGTCTCAGAGACATCAATTCATTCTGCAGGCAGGCACAGCATGCTGGTGTCCGGGGCTGCCCATAACCCACTTGAGGAACCTAATGTAAGATAAAATTGAAATGGGGATTCACGGTTCAGAAGTGAGGAGAAGATCTTTAATCTCCCTTCCTGCAGGTACTAAACTTAAAAATAAATTCCAAAAAACAGAGGGACATCAGTACCTTCTTTATAGCTCCAAGGAATGCTGGGCTCAGGTGTCACTCACTCTTTGGTCTCACATGATATATGTCTACATCGCTAGCTATTTACACAGCATTGGTTAATAAATGCTGAAGTATGTTCATACACTACACAATTTAATCTTATCTGATGATTCAGTCAAGGAGGCAGAGAAATCCACAGGACAAGTCAGAAATATTTCCATAAAAAAAATTACAGGTTAAGATGTGATACTCAAAAGGTTAAATGCTTACTACATGTAACATTCCTTGAAGCCTTCAGATAGCCAAGGTTTTACTGTAATGAACACAGCATGCTTCATAAGTGAGTTCCAAGTGTAAGGCCCTCAGGCTGCTTAGCACAGCATTTGTCCTTGCCTCCTTCTGTAATAGATATTTGTGGATATTTATAGACTGAGCCTAAGCAATGGCACTCACAGTACTGACTTAATGCCAGACTAATAAATAACAGAACCACCACACAGTGGCTATAGCTATGTGTTTAAAACCTTATTGGACAGGAAACCAAACCAAAGATACAAACTCAGTTTGAGTTGTGACTTAAAACTCAAAGCAATTACATATCACTCTTTCTGACCAGGGAGGTTTGTGGAGAGTTCAAGATATTTATGATGGAGTAACATGGGTGTCCTACACATGGAAATAGGCTAGACAATGAATGAAGCGACAGCAACATTCTGTGTAAAAGTAGCATCTCACCAACTGATTTTTATTTTCTTAAAAATAAAGAGAAGCAAAAGGAAATGAAATGTTAGGAAAATAAATTAACAACCTCTATTGCTATTTTCCATGACAATATTTTTCTCCTGCAGTATCGTGCCATAGGAACCCAGCTCCTAGACATTCTCAAGCATTTCTGTTGTACAACCACTGCCCTGCACTGTGGATGCAAGACGTTATCTGCCTGCAGCATTAAAATGCAGGTCTGCCCGAATGGAATTCTCACCATTCACAAAATAAGAGCAGAACTAAGGTGCTTATGCTTCAGTGAACTACCACGCTGCATTAAAAACTCAAGACTGAACACAAAACTGTAAAGAAGCTATTTTCTTTCTAGAATAAAGCTAGGGAAAATGGAAGATTTCATTTACGTTAGCTTAAGGGAGAATTAAAACAGAGGGATTTATTTTCTGACTAAAGTAATACAGTTTTGTTTTAGTGGGAAGTAGGTTGGGAGAAGAGAGCCCTGAATAATGACAGCATTATTCCTTAGAAACAATTTGGAAGACACTAGGTGACCTAATTCTTTAAAAGTCTAATTAATGTCTTGATTCCTAACATTCGACATTATTTTCAGTTGGTCCCTCTTGGCAGTTAGGAAGAAATTTCTCCACACCGAGATGAATGTTAAAGGGAAGAGTAATCTCATCTGTGCACTAAGGCTTTAATAATTAAATAGTAAGATTCAAAATTCCAAAAGAAAAAACATTTTATATTAAATACTCAGTAAGTGGGAGGTTTCATTCCTCCTTCCCATGGAGCCCCCTATTTCCCACCCTGGCTCTGAATAGAGCCTGCACAGCAACATGGTCACTGAGGCCTATTGTGAGAAAATGAGTGACTGAAGCCTTACCACACAGGACTTCACTAAGGTATTTAGTAAAACTTCAATTTTACCAACAGCAGAAATTACCCTGTGGCTTCCAACATTTAATGAAAAGATTTCTCACTCCCTCTTCCTCTGTCAGGTATTTCAGAACTTCACCCACTTTTTGTTAACATGTACTGATGGAAACAAGATCATTATTTTTCTGAAGCACTGTATTTTGAAGTGAGTAAAATGTCAAGGGAAAAGGTAGGCTGATCAAGAAAGAAAAAGCAGAAGCCCATTCTTCATATAAAATATTTTTCTGCCTCACCTGAAAACCAAAATGAAAGCATCTGACATCTTCAATTTGAAAAGCTCAATTCACTTTTAGTGGTGAAGAGGTTCAGCAAGCCTTTCACTCATTAAATTTGTCACAGTGTGTCACTGTTCTCAATCGTCCTTGAATGAGCAGCATTCATGGGAATAGTGAGTGACCGTGAAGAGGACTGCTGGCTGGCAGCATAAATGCAACTCCCCAGATCCTTACAAAGTGTCTTTGCCCTCTTTGTGTACCCTACTCTGGAACCCCTGAATACAAAAGCCAAAAGGTATGGATCAAACTATCTTCCTGGAGGTGACATGTAGGGGAAGAAAAAAATATCTGCTTCAAAGTAGACAATGCTGTTACAGTCATCTGATGGATGGCAGGATTCTTGCACAGCTTATCTCAGCATCACAAGTGACAATATAGTCTGTTCTCACTGTAGTCATTGAGGGGGAAGGGAAGAAGCTATGAGTTAGAAGGCTTTGCTGCTCCTCTTTCATATTCATGGAGAAAGACAAAATAGAACCTGACAGAGGAAGAGGCTGGGGAAAATCTCCAGCAGCAAATCTGTGTGCCATAGGCAGGTGACCTGCATACATGCAGCACTATGGCCCTGTGTCCCCATGTGTGCCACCAGAGGAGGAGACAGCCCTTCCTCTACAGTAATCATAAGGTGTCAAGGCCTTCTGTGAACTTCTAGAAATTACAATTTCACATGTATTTGAATAAACCTAGTACAGCTACTAGAATGTTCAAACTTTAATTGTATATTTGTTTTACTAACAGAAGCATGGCTCTATACAGAATTCCACCTTCAAATGAACCAAATGTTTCCAACTATTTCTTTTCTAACTAAATTTCTAACTGAACAATTTCATGGTGACATAAACTACCCTAGAATTACTGTACACGTCTACTTATCAGTTACTCTTCATAGCCAACCTATCATCTGCCCATGCATCTCTCCCATCTCACCTGGCCATGTCAAATTTATGCATTCTGGTGAAAATAAATTAATTAACTTATAAGCAGAAAATTCTATTTTCAGGACACCTTTAAGAATTAGAAAGTTCTCCATACACTGAGCCAAATCTCAGTGATTTTTTAATCTGAATTCTGCCTTGTGGAGTTATACAGAATACCTTGCATTCAGACCAAAATATTACTTACCTTTAGACGCTCAATGGCTTCCTCTCCTCCAGGTGTAGACATGATCCTCTCCTGAATACTGGTGACAGACGTCAAGCCCACCTGACTACTGAGTGAGCAGGAAGATGGGGATGAAGTGAGGGACCCCATGGATGCTGTGGAAAAATGGCCAGGGCGTTGATTCTCAGAGGCTAGCAAGTACCTATGCTTATTGTTCTGAAAATCTTTCAGATCTGGGAGATAGAAAGAAAGGAAGGCAGAAAAAGTGGGAAAGAGGGAAAAGAGCAGAGGAGGAAAAAAAGACAGGAAAGAACACTGGTATAAGAAAGGACAGCATTAAAGCGCCAGGACAAAGACACGCTACAATACAAAGACAAGTTATAATTATTCTAGATGGCAGTTCTAAAACATGTCTCTCTTTGAAACTGGTATCCTAGAGGTTAAGAACCACTTTTGAATTTAGAAACTAAGAAAGTTCAATGCAGGTTAACGTTATACCTGGTAGGAGGTAACCAGAGCCTCAAAGGACACTACTTAGGCACACTCCCTCAAGAGCCAAACTATATCCCTTCTGTTCTTTCTATTGTTCCAAGTCCACAATGCCTTTAGATTTACACTAGTCATAAATTCCAGTAAGAAACAATCAATAATTATTTATTTATCAATAATACCCCATATTGGCCCAGCATTTTATGAAATTCAGCAAAAATTTCCAAGAAAATTTTAAAGTTAAAACAAAAATCTGAGCACTTATTAGTGTTCCTTGTATAGCAACATTTCAACATATTCAAATGATTTTTAAAATACACCTCAAATAAAAAGGAGAAGTAATTGTAAAAATGGCAGGATTTTGTGCGAGTCCCAATTAAGAATTCAGGACCAACTGATTGCCTCAACAAGGAAAAACAATTAGCAAATCAGTAAGTTTTGGTGTAGTTTCCATTTATCTATCAGAGCAAGCAAAAAATAAGGCTGATTACTGGCTAATTTAAGCCCTTACTTTGCCTAAGAGTACAACCTTGGGTTACTGGTAATCCTACTTCCTAGTATGAAATGCAAGCTTTAAGGACATACTTTCATTTACCAAGGTCTCTAATAAAACTGTAAATTTAGCTTTTAAACTTAGTTTTGGTTTAAAAAAAAGAAAGGCCACAAAGAACAAAATTCATTAATTTGCTGTTTGTACTTTCCTTCATTGTCATTCTTCTCAAAGAGACACCAAAGGGAAATTATAGGTACTGAAGCATTCCTACCTTAAAATTAACTCATTTTTAAATTTGAGAAAATCTATATTGCTTAAAATTCATACCAAAAATCTAAGTTTTCCTTAAAGGATATTATCTGAGTCAATACAAATAGTTCAAAAAAATATTATTAGCTCTCTCTGTATCTATTTATCTCTACTATTTAATCAAAGTCAGTTCTTAAAGCCCCTTAAAGCCAGTGGTTGCTTCAAGACAGTTTGAAAACCACCATCTGCAAATAGAAAACACAGGAAAACAAGCAAAGAGTCATGTTTCAAAAAGAGGATAGTTCCTGGAGCAAAAAATTAGCTACCAGGTGATGGCAGTAAGGTGGGAAAGACCAAGATGGACAGAGTTTAGACAGTCCAATGGACACATGCAAGCCCTAAAAGGAATTAAGAGAAGTAGACCAAAATGGAAATAGAGTAGTCAGGGCTGCTTTCCTTCACAGATACAGAATTAAAACTTAGTCATGCATGATTTTTCAGGAAATGCCACAGCTGCTCAGAAAAGAGGTAGGCAACAAGCTGGTAGCGGCAACACCCTGAGCACAAAAGCAAGAACAAGAAGTCATCTTTTCCACACCAGTATCATTCAGCTTTGGAAATCTCAGACAGAGTTGTTCCAATTCAAGGGTCACTTCTGCGTTAGACATTATAGTGCCTTCAAGGCCTAACCTTATCACAATAGGGCTACATTTGGTTTCTCCTATTTATTACAGTAAGCTTCATTACGTGCCTTACTGTAGAAATAAACAAATTAATAAGAATCTAAAAATTAACCCCAAAAGCAAGATTCTTCATTTTTTCTAAGACAACAATTCCTTGATAAATTACCTTAAAAGTGTAAGAAATTATTTCCTCACCAACTTAATGATATATATATGGAGAGAATAATGAAAGGTGTAATCTTTTATAAAATGTTCTCTTTTCAAGCACACATTTTAGACACTTAAGTTTTCTTAAATTTAACTTCTAATTTACGAGAAGGGGAAAAAATGTTTATCTAACCATCAAGTAAGCTGAGGCCCAAGATGTGCAGAAAACCAACTTAGCATGACACAGGTGAATGCTAACCCAACATTTACAGACTCCTCAATCACAGACAGTGTCGCCCACTGGAAATGATAATTTTTAATTATATACATGAAGTCTCAAATTTACAATGCTAATTAAAAAGGATTTTTCTACAAAATAATCAGACCCTAAAGGGAGCAACTCGAGGCAAAAAAAAAAAAAAAAAAGTGTAATAGTAATTAAAAGCAAGGGCTCTGAGTTACACTACCCAACCTGAGTAGAAACCATGGGAACTTGAGCAAACTAACCACTCCAGGCTTTGGTAAAGTGGGCATAAAGGAACTTATTCAGAGTCATTGACAGAATTAAGAGATAATACATTCAAGGTGCCTAGAACAGGGCCTGGCACATATTAACACTCAATAAATGTGAGCTGCTGTCATCATTATCATAATCTATGATTTTGGATTTAATTTAATCACATAAGGGGGAAAAACTGAAGAGTAGAAGCAGCAAGAGATTCTTAAGCCTCTCAGTTTCACTCAAGCAACTAACTGAAATTCAGCGAAGACTGCTTTGTTAAATGAAGAAGGGCAAAAACAGGATCATTTCTGATTCTACACTATGCTCTGTCTGGGATTTCCCTGTTAGGATTGCTGGCATGCAAAGCTCATTTTAAGACTGATCCAGCAGAGGCAGATTAGCAAGTCAGAGTGCTGGAAATAACCAATGCATGAAATACACACATTTGCCTCCACTTCCAGAGTAATCATCAATCAGTGGATCAACTGAAGGTAAGCAGGAGGGAAAATACGAGAAGGGTCAAACTTCAGGTAAAGCAGTGACACAGAGAGGGAACAGTGGTATTTGGCATTTGGGAAAATGAAAAAGTTAACACTTAAAACATATTATCAATTTTACAAATTATATTAATCTAAACTTAGGCTCTAATCAATAAGAAGAACTAAACTAGTCTTTGAAAATCTTACAATTCCAAGGACTATAATATTAATTTTACACTCAAAAAATAAAAATATTAGTGCTGATAACACCAAGGTCCTGGGTTCAACTCTGTACCAGCTAGACACCAAAAAAAGCTTAAACAAACCCATATTCCACTATGTTCTACTCTATCTGAATAATCTATTTTACTAACTTATGAGAACTTCTGATTAGATATAATACAGACAATAAATCAGAGACTTTTAAAAGATGCATTTTAAGACAACATTATAAAACAATACTCTCTGGAAGTCTAATTCTTAAACTTGAAAGGAATAGGACTTTTCCCCTTCTTATGTTCATAGGGAACAGCGGGCATTCAATCATTTTACAGGAGGAGGGGACCATTCAACGGTGAATCTTGTCAAGGGCAGGTCAAGGGTTCAGATCTCCTTAAATAAATAAATAAATAAATAAATAAATAAATAAATAAATAAATAAATAAATAAAAAGGAACATCTCAAAGATAAATCTTTTCTGAAATTAGAATTGAATGGAGCGTTTCTTCTTATACATACATTACTACTACTACACTAATCCAGAGAAACCCATGAAGCAAAAACAAAAATTTTGAGTACTATTTATATAAAGTGATTAATTTCTCAGTGAGAATAAGTTTAACATTCAAAATAAATTTCATTGTTCATCTAAGATAGATTCTAGTACAGATACAAGTAGTGACATATTCATGTCTTAAAAACTAATTTCATAAGTTCACATGGTTAACCTAGGTACATACTACAAAATGGAATCTGGAGATCATTTCCATTGAGTTAAAAAAAAAATTTTTTTTTTCACTATCATCTAGCTTCATCAAATTCCTTAAATCAAAGTTTATAAGAACCCTGAAGAGGAAAGGATTAGATTTTATGTTAATCCTTAATTCACTTACTATCAATAATATCTCCCAGCCCCTGAGCACGAAGAAGGTCCTTCAGCCGTGTCACCTCCTCCTTTAATTCACGAACCAGTTTGGCATTGGGATCTTCATTGATAACAGCATTGCATTTAATTTGTTTTGCGCGATCTGCATATCTAGATCCAAAAAGGAAATTCATTCTTGCCATTTCTCAGATGCTCTACTTCTCACAAGTAAAATACCATTATTTCTAAATAAAATATCCTGAGTATTTAAACATTTTATGAGCCTTGATAATAATATATTTACATAAAGCTTTACGGGACCTTATAAAGATGAGGATAAAAGTGCAAATAAATTTAAGTGATTTGCCCAACATCACAATGGAAATAAATACCAAAGAGAGGACTCAAACCCAGTCTGTCAGACTATATAGCGTTCCTTCCATTACATTATATCAAGTGTCTTAAATGGGAGAACAGAGCTCCAGATTAAAGTAATGGAACCTACTCGCATATAAAAATATTCTAATAGGGAACATTCTGTTGGTAATTTTTAATGCTACATGTACTTGTAATTGTATTACTCTTTATGACTTGAGCATTTCTATAATGACAAAAACCACCAGGAGACACTTTTAAGAAAATTTCACTATTATCTAAAAGTTATCCAAAAATCTCTCTTGAGCAATTTTAAGCTCTTTTTTATGAAAAAGTTCCTGCCCTTTCCAATGAAACTGAAAATCATAAACAGGTAAATTCCATTATAATACAAATAGTTCTTTCCCCAAGTTTTCCTTGCCATGAGAGGAAGAAATCATTATTTATATAAATGACTACCCACACAGCATAAGAAAATCCATGATATAAAAAACCGACTTATGATGGCAATGTGGTCTATTTAGTTACTGAGATCAAATGAGAGTACCTCAGAGTGCTCAGAGTTTCATCATAGTTGATGTCTGCTGGACTCAGAGCAGCAACCATTGCAGTCCGAGAATTGCCACCTAAAAAGATGAATTACAAATATCTCAAATAACACTTATTTTAGAAAGAATTTTATTAAATGTGTCAAATCTGATGGCATAATCTCAGATCCTAAGATTTCATCCAGTGTCAACAAATTCCTTAAATGTTCCCATGCCAGGTACTGTAATACTCAAATTTTGGTGTGTAGGTTTAATAGGTCCAGATCCTGTCCTCCCACTCTCTCACAAACCCCCTCCAATCAAAATCTCAGCCATTCCATCAAAACTGCCCTTAGCAATGTGAAAGTCACTGGTGATGGGGATAAGCTCAACAGTTCATTCTCAGCCTCTTCCTTCTATCAGCAACATTTGACACAGCTGATCACTCCCTCCATCTTGGTAAGAAAAAGCAGTGAATAAACAGCAATGACCTGAAGGCCTGAAAACATTAGCAATAAGAAGGAGTAAGGGAGCTGGCCAGTTAGCTCAGTTGGTTAGAGCATGGTGCTGATAACACCAAGGTCTCAGGGTTTAATCCCTGTACCAGACAGCCGCCAAAAAAACAACAAAAAAAACAAAAAAAGAGAGAGAAAGGGCGGAATAAGGGTTGGCAACGTCTGATTATGTGAACCTCAGAGGAGCATGGGGTTTTGAAAGAACTTCAAGGAGGAGTGATAGTTTGAAGCAAGTGTGGGGAGTCAGGAAGACACCATGGTTCATGCCCCAAAGTAAATGAAATATGGAAGAACACCCTGATTTAAAAGTTAGTGAATCCAACCAGCTTACATTAAAAGCAAAAGGCAAGGAGCACTCAAGTTAGTAACGTGAATATGTAGAGATTATTCTTCTCCAAAACAGACACAGGACAATTAACCACAAAAGATAATCAGTAAACAGCTATAAAAAGATAACTATAAAGTGCATTTTCAACAGTGGTCAACATACCTAGATTTTCTCGAAGGAGCCAAGTAAGTACAGAATCCCTGTAGGGAATAAAATCAGTTTTCTTCTTCTTTTTACTCTATTAAAGAGAAAGGATCAGCCTTAGCATTCTTGGGGGGGGAAATTTACATGAAAGGAAAACGAGTCTACTAAAATTAACAAGTAAATTACAGTAGAACTCTATCACTGTTAAAATTTATCATTCAGTTTCAATTCTTCACAATACCCAGAGCTCATGCAATAAAATAATTTTTTCTTTTTACATTTTTGAAAAATTTATAACATACACAACAGTTGAGAGAGTAATATAATGAGCTATCATATACCCATCACGCACCTTCAGTCATTATCAATATTTTGCCAATAATCTTTCAATTATCCCCCAAACTCTTTTCTACACTTGTTTTCCATGAACCATTTTGGAGTTAAGTTGCATACATCATGTCCATTTACCCCTAAACACTTCAGCAAAAGAGTACATTCTCTTGTGCAGGCAGAGGACAACGACCAAATTCCAGAAATTTAACATCAATACAATATTATTACCTAATATTCTGTCCACATCACGTCTTTTATAGACGTTAGTTTTTTAAAACAATGCAATATTTCACCTATAAATACTTCAGGTATATATCTCTCACAAAGAAGGACTTTTTTAAAAAAACATATTCACAAAACCATTATCACACTTAACAGTAATTCCTTAATATCATCTAAAACCTACTCCTCAAACAGTAATTTTTATTTCTGCAGAAGGAGAGATATGAATCCTGTGCATTCCAGGTTGGATGTGTAGAGAAAGTCCTTTTTTTCTTGGCAGCTGCCAAGTACGGGGATTGAACCCTAGACCTTGGTGTTTTCAGCACCACGCTCTAACCAATTGAGCTAACTGGCCAGCCCCCAGTTAACAAATTTATTTGGCCAACCACCAAATCATCAAGTGGATTGTTGCCTATCTAATAACTCTTGTAAGATGATATACATTTGGTTTCTTTGAAAGAAAATTATGACAAAAATAAAACTTACCATTGGGACTAAAAGTGAAAAGGTCAAAGTGGGGCAATTTGCTAATTTAGAGATTTGTAAAAACTCTAAAAAGTAAAAACTAATGCAAATGCTTTGCAGGAAATAGCTACTCAAATATCCTCTGGCTGACTTCTGTGTTGTGATGCTTTAAGAAGCTATCAGGGGGAAAGCTAGGGTTCAGTGATGAACATCGCTCCAGCAAATGACAGTTTTATAATTCATTCCTGGTGTAATCCAAGTTTAAACTAAGAATGATCTACTATTTGCAAAAGCACAGGTATTCAGAAAAAGACTAGTAAGTGGATGATCTCTGGGTTGTTCAGGAAAAAAGGGAGTAGACAAGGGGCACTTTAATTCCATCTCTTATCAAAAATGACCACACCACCCACAAACATACACCACCAATTAGAAAGTTATTTCCAATAAGTTTCAATTTTAAATTGCACAGACCTCTAGGGAGAATTAAACCTTCATTTATTCACAGATTAGTGGGACAAACTTTCATCACTACAATTAAGGCCTAACACCTCAGTTTATCCTCTTGTAGTTCCTAAACACACCTAAACACCTCACTTTATCCATTGTTAGAACTGAAAATGCTGTAAGATTTAGAGTATGCCAGTTACAATGACCACAATCAGTACTATAAAAATAAGTAATGTGGGTTTGCCAAAAATGTTCTGTCTTCATTTCTGTCAATTAGACTAAATTAAGAAGGAATAGCTAAATGAAGGAGCATAAGTAAACTTCAATCTTTTCCATTTGAAATAGTCCAATTTTTAGCCATTTCTTTTCTATTTGCTCTCTTATAAAATTAATCTCAGCTTTTCTCATGTTTATACATTTTTTGAAAATAAGTGCTTCAGTAGTTACATAAAAAGCCTTATTTGGATCATTAACCTCTCTAAAAAGAAATACTGTTAAGTGTGGATGGTAATAAGTATGTTTCTCTCTCCAGTAGAAATAATAATACATTTTAATTAATCAAAAATTATGCTTATTACATAAAAACTAAAATTTATTTCTGATCTATTATAGTTTTGACATAGATGCAAAGCACTAAACTGGGTTTTATAAAACTGATTATAAAAAAATCATTTATGAATTATTGTGGCACAGAGCAACGTGGGACATATACAGATAGTTTGTAAACTTTTCCTGTGGTTGATACGCTGATAGATGAGCAAATGGACAGGACAAGTTAGATGAGTTGATAGAAGAGCAAATGGAGAGGACAAGTTAGAATGATCACTAAATTTTAACTCTTCATCGTTCTAGGACCCAGATTAGATAGATATTTGAAGAGTGTTCGCACATGTACAATATCAAATAGCAGGTAGATTTCTGAATCTAAGGCACCTTCTTCTGATAGAGAAAAACAGAAAAAGGGCATTACTTTTTATTAAGTTATTTTTGTAGACGTTGAGAGAATAAACAAATTTATATATTTGAAAATATGAATATAAAGGGCCGGCCCGGTGGCGCAATGGAGAGTGCGCCGCTTGGGAGCATGGCGGCACTCCCGCCGAGGGTTCGGATCCCATGTGGAGACCGGTTCCCGCTTACTGGCTGAGCGCGGTGCAGGTGCAACACCGAGGGTTGCGATCCCGTTGCCGGTCCCTGGTACGGGCGCGACACCAAGGGTTGCGATCCCGTTACCGGTCAGTAAAAAAAAAAAAAGACAAAAAAAAAGAAAATATGAATATAAAATATTTCAATGCAAATACTGCCTCTATCTCCAATTATACTCATGTGATTTGTAACAAATTGTTAGGGGTTCTAACTATTATTTTGCAAAAAAGAGTACTAATAAATTTTAGAGCATTTGAATAGAAATATAAGGAAGAGAAAAATCTATAGTATTTGCGTAAAAAAGGATGCAAATATGTTTTCTAGATGCAGTCAGAAGTTTAATTTGATTCTATAGGCTTCACTTTAAGTATAACCAAAGAGTAAAAAAAAAAAATTAATGTTTTTATCCATGACCTTTCAAGGTAAGAAATAAGTTAAGATAATACAAAGAGGTTTAAGGAAATATATACCAATAATTTCAAATAGCCAGCTATGGTTTTAGAATGGTACCCTTAAGAAATTTAATTAATTGCCTTTTCAAGTGGTTTGCAGAACTGTCAAAAGACAGTCCTATAGATCACTAGAAGTACTGTAAGATAACACAATGTAAAGTTTCCTCAAGTTTCTCTCTTGTTCCTTTATTTTTAATTCCTTCTCCAAAGCACATCATGTTCCCTAAATTAATTTTGGTGTGAAGTCTCATGATTCATGGTAACCCTAAATAGCCATTCTGAATTAAAGAGCCAGAAAACAAATGACAAAAAGTTTTTTGAATGTTCCATTCCTCCTTATGCCTCTATATATCCTGCTGAGAATTTAAAACCATAACAGTTAATTCTAAAGCTAGTTCATCTCCACTAATCCCCACCGTACCTTGCTGGTGCAGTTATCCTACAGATGAAAGCATTAAAAGGAATGAACAAGAACACAGGATAAGCCTCCAAATAGAAAATAATATTTCATTTAAATTTTAAGTTACACATTATGACTTCTCAGAGACAAGCAGAAAAGCATTTAATTCTTTTTAACAACTTAAATGAGTTATTAAACTAAATTAGAGCACACAATGACTAATACTTCCTCAGCTTCTAACCTAAATAATGAAATCCCTTGTGTTCCACTGTTAAGGAATAGAAAAGAATATTTTAAAAATATGTATTACTGACTCCCAAATCAGCAGCATTCACCAAAGCCAAATTGCTCAAAATACTCCAAAAGGTATGACATTCTACTTTTAAAAGATTGCATAGGAAAAGAATATAAAATAAAAACACTTGGTTTTTGTGAGAAATATGAAGCAAGGCTCAAAATATTTGTCAAATCTTAGGTCTCTACTCTAGCCTTTACAGATCTGTATTTACTTTCATCCTCAATCTCTTTTACTTTCAGTACAAAGTCAAACTGTGTTATACCTAGTATCTTATCTGAAAAGCTCTAAAAGGAGAAAGTCAAGATTACATAAAAGGTCCAAAAAAAGACAGCCTTCATAGACAATGAAAAATACCATTGATTATATTTGCTGAGCAGACAAATTTCTCCTTATTATGAAGTATAAAACTTACCACCTCTGCCAAGGCTGAAATGACTTTGCCCAAAGTTGTAAGAGACTTATTAATATTTGCTCCTTCCTAAAATAAATACCAAACATAAAAGAATTATGGTGAAGAATTTCTACTATTGCCAGATCATATACAACATAAAATACAATTTGTCATATGCTAGCATATTTATTTAAGATCACAAGTTCTAAAAATCTCCTTTCATCCTCAATCTTTGCTCCTCTCCAATTGATAACACGCTGGGACCACATGCCTAACTCATAGTCCTAAAGTATCTTCAAGACATCTATACTCCAAAACCTTACAGATGGAGCCTTCTTCCCATAGCTCACTGACATGAAATTTCTGCTCATTAAGCAATATCTCTATCAAAGTCTATGCTTGTTCTCATATCTAGATCTTGTATAATCTATTCCCATTACTGTCTTACTTCCATCTAGCCAAATCTAGCCTGTTTCTTGAAATACAATTCATCTTTCACCTTGACCATGAAGTCCTCCCTAACTATTATGCTATATAACTTATCCTTTCATTGCAGTTATAATCAGTTGTCGGCAAAATTCTTCTGTAACGGGCCAAATAAAAATTATTCTAGGTTTTGTGGGCCATATGATCTTTTTTGCAACTCTGCCACGGCAGTGCAAAAGCAGTTACAGAGGATACATAAACGAATGGATGTAGCCATGCAGGCAGTGGGCTGGATTTAACCCACTGGCCACAATTTGTTGACCCATTAACAGAATATTTATTGACTAGGCCATTTATTTGGTAAAATAAATACCTTTAATCGAGTCCCCTTGGCACCAGTTGAATCAGCTCTTTCGCTTCCAGCTAGATCCACCAGGCTGATTTTACTAACCTGATAAAGAACAATAACATGGGGGCAATTCAAAATAAGCAAGGTAGAGACAGAAAACATTTAGAAGCAGGACATTTTTTAAAAGATTAAGGTATGGAGAAGACTAAAAATATTAAAGCTCTTAGCTATGGCACAAGATGATAAAGACAACATATATCATAATTTAAAGAATGTGCATAAAATTCATTGCAATTATCTTGGTTCAAAAGAAGTAATTTTAGGATGAACATAATATTTTACAACAGTATGTCATAAAAATATATAAAACACATCAACCCATTAAATGGCATAATAAAAATGAAGCTTTGAGCAACTGGAACTCTCACATATGGCTGGTGGGAATGTAAAATGGTACAATCACTTTGGAAAACAGTTTGGCAGTTTGTTAAGAAGCTAAACATACAACTGCCATTAGACTCAATCATCCTACTCCAAGGTATTTACCAAGAGAAACAAAAACAAATGTCCACACAAAGACCTGTACACAAATGTTCACAGCAGCTTCATTTTTAATAATCAATAGCTGGAAACAATTTAAGTGCCCATCAACAGTGAATCAATAAACAAACTGTGGTGAATCTATACAATGGAATACTGTCAGCAATGAATAGGAACAAACTATTGACACACATAACAATATGGATGAATTTCAAAATCATTTTGCTAAGTGAAAGAAGCCAGGCAAAAATAGTACATACTGTATGATTCCGTTTATATAAAATTCTATAAAATGTAAACTAATATATAGTGATAAATGCAGAAATTGCCTGGGGATGGGGTGGAAGAAGGGATAGAGGGACATGAGGCAACTTTTCCAGGTAATAGAAATTCTCATTATCTGGACTGTGGTACTGGTTTCACAGGTGTATACACATGTCAAAATGATCAAATTTTACACTTTAAGTATGTGTAGTTTATTATATACTTCAGAATTATATACCTCAATAAAGTTGTTAGAAAAATAAAGCTTCGAGAACGCTTAGACAAAAGTATCCAAAATGGATTATCAAGAAAGCTATAGTTATGGGATTAACGTCATTAATTTTGCACATTTGACACTATGGGAAAAGGGCAAAAATGCTTTCACAAAGAATGTTCATTGGTGCCATTCAGATAAATCCTAACTACCAAATAGGATTAATATTATAATCTTTGGCTAAACAAGTTATTTGATCAGCTATATAAGGAGTATATTTTTAAAAATAATTTCCAGTTAAAAGCAAACAAAAGTCACCAAGTAAAAGGTGATTCTAGTTTTTACTGACAACGGATGGTATCATAAAGTACTCATTTTATTAGGCAAAAGATCTTTTGTAACTGCCAATAAATCTAACTTCAGATTTTAAAATGCAGTTGCATGCTACTTATCAATTTAGGCAGAGTAGAATTCAACATAAATTTTTTATTAACAAAAATAATACAATTAACATTTATTGAGTGCCTACTCTGTTCCAGACACTATTATATGCACTTAACTTACATTAATACTTAGCCCTTTTAACAACCCTATGAGGTTTGTTACAAATGGGGAAACCAAGGCACGAAGATGTTAAGTAACTTCCCCATGGTAATATAGGTGAAAAGAGGCAAAGCCAAGTTCAAAGCAAGCAGTCTAATTCTAAAGTCTACAATATTTAACCACTATAGAAAATAAGAAATAAACAAGCAAATGTATCTGAAGAGCATCAGAACTGTTGTGCAGTTATTTATTTTCCAGGAATAAAACATCTCTTGCCTGCCTAATCATTTGCTTAAACACTTAATGTCACAGTAATGTTATCCTAGCTAAAAAAAAAAGAGACAGAGAGAATACACACACCAAAGAAGGCTAATAAAGTAATAATTGAAAGGTTCCAGTCAAGAAAAAGAAAAGGATTTTTCTCCCCTGAGAACTATTTAACTATCTCGGATTGAATGGTTTTTGAGATCCAAAATCTTAATTTGTTTTTTCTTAAGAAAAATGACAAGCAGAGGCTATAAAACACTCCCCTCCACAAAAAGTAGAGGGTAGCAAAATCCCCATCCTTCATAACTCAAGCCCAAGGACTAAAGTTCTCCTACCTTCTCAGTGGAAAGGTTGGTCTCAGTATCATGTTTCTTCTGGGTGAAAACAATAGTAAACACGGCATGGGAACGGCTACTTGTTTCATTCATGTTGGTAGCTGCCACTGTCCTAAGTAAACATAAAGATGACTATGTGACAATGGAATTCTTAGGTGAGAGTTAAAATGGAGAGCAGGCTCCACATTATAAGCATAACAATCACAAGTAATAGCCTTAAACTTATTCACAAATTGCAAGATTGTCACTTACACAATTGCTCCCAATACTGCCTTATTTGTGAGCCCACTCCAGTGGCACCCATCAGAATCATTTTTCATATTCCAGCTACCCCTTTAGAAACCACCGAAGCATTTAATTGTTATTCCTTATTAGGTGCTCATCTATTCCAGAATCATTGTCTACCATAGCTACTCGCCTGTGCAGCATAGTCAAAAGACGGGAGGACTCCATAATTAAAGCAACTTTCATAGCTATAAATGTGGCCTCAAACCCTTAACAGGGAATAAAGGGCCTCAAAATGTGCCAAAGGTCTTTGTCATTAATCTATTTCCTACCATACCTGGCTTTGTTCCCAGCGTCCATGAGGTCAGCAATGTCTGTGTAGGAAGTGACTGCCAACTTTGACAGATCCTCCACATAGGGTCCAAGAAGTGGGTGTTCACGCACACGCAAATTACCCTTGTTTTTTGGATTCAGCAAGTCTCGTACTCTCTCACAGTAAATTTCCATGTAGCTCACCTAGGAACAAATTATTAAAGTGAATTAGAGCATGTGGGGGGAAAAATCACATATGCTAAAAAACGATTTTTTTAAGCTTTTATTAAAAGCTCTATGATTAGAGATCAGCAACCTTTACAAAGTGAAATACCATAGTTCTAGGCCCTTTTATTCTACTAACAGTCTGCACAGATACCACACTTCGTAGATTAGAACTAGTTTTCTGACATTCTCAGGAAGGAAAAGGAAGTAAACAAGTTATCCCTGGCCAATAGTGGCTGCTATTTGTCTTAGAAAAGATATTTTAGTACCAATTTATCAGTTATCAATATTTTTTAAAATGTACACAGTTGTCAGTAATTAGAGTTTACAGTGGGGTTACTCCATGAGCTTGTAAATAAGATTTCTATCCAAGTTAAAACCAAGGAACAATATCAATATTCCAGAGCAGGGAAGACAAAATAGACTCACCACACTGAGATTCTTTGAGATTGACCACATTGTTACTAACTATGGACAAGGTATCCGCAAGAATGGGTGAAGGCTGATCAGCATAGAAGCTGATGATGGCAGGAACTATCCGAGACTTGAGGGAAAAAGAGGAAGCCTCAGACAATAGGCTTGAATGAATCCTTGTCCCATCCACAGGTCTATTCCTATCACAGTGATGAATGCACTAGGCTATCATTTCTTAACCTGAGGCAATTAAACATTTAATTTATCTAATCGACTCACCTCTCTCTAATTCCATGCCCAACAAACAACTAACAGAGTTCCAATAGAGATCTGTATACAGAAAGACAACACACTAGTCTTGCAAATGTGAGTGGTCTGGTCTGGGTAATAGTTATTCCTCACTGGAAAGTAACAAAGCAACATGTTGGTTTCATAACAGCCAAATGAACCTCACTGGAGTCTGACTTTGAAGGATGGTTTTGCTCCTGATGCATCAACAAAATCAGACTTCTAAGCAAACAAGGCTCTGCACTGGGGTAAATTCACCACAGTAGTCCACATTATGATGCTTCCCAGGAATCAGATCCTTCTGTATCACTGAGCTTTTCAAGATACAATATAACTCCTGCATTTTTCAACTTTAAATTTCTACAGATACATTTTCAGAGTCTCTGAAATGGAATCTTATCTCCATTTCTATTGTCTTTCTTCTTATTCAGTCTCTGGTTTGTGTTTTTATACTGTACTTTAAAATCAGTTAAAAAAAAACCCTGAAAACCCTGAAATACAAAGCAATTGACCCATTATGACAGTAAAGCAACAGGACAGCAAATATTCTTTCCGACAGCAAGTCATCCTAGAAAGTGAGATACTTTAATTATTCTTCTGTACTTTAATTTGTACCTACAACCCTGAATCCCAGGAAGATATTATATATTTTTGGAAAATGTGTCCCTTCTCACACAGGTATGAGACTAAGAGGATACAAATCACCTGGGTAAAGGTTAATGTGCTCTGTTCCTTATTCTCTCTCTCTCTCTCTTTTTTTTTTTGTCTACTTTGTGACCAGTAATGGGATTGCAACCCTTGGCTTGGTGTCTCCTGCACCGTGCTCAGCCAGTGAGCGCACCGGCCATCTCTATATAGGATCCAAACCCGCAGTGGGAGCGCCACTGCGCTCCCAGCGCCGCACTCTCCCGAGTGTGCCACAGGGCCAGCCCATTATTCTCTAATTTTTGAATCCATCCAAAACCATCACTATTTCTTTGACTTCTGCACCATCAATTTCAGACCCCACTTGGGGAGTTTATGATACTATTAAGGAAGATTGACAATAAATAACAAATATGAAAAATAGGTAATTTGTATTTAGAACATGATGAATACTATGGAAAAAAGAAAATAGAACAGAACAAGGGAGATCAGGAGTGCTGGTGGTACAGAGCAAGTTGCTGTATTAAATAAGGTGGTCAACACGAATAGCCAAAGCAATTCTGAGCAAAAAAATTAAAGCTGGAGGTATAACACTACCTGACTTTAAACTATACTACAAAGCTATAATAACCCAAACAGCACGGTACTGGCATAAAAACGGACACACAGATCAATGGAACAGAATAGACAATCCAGAATCAACTCACACACCTATGGCCATCTAATTTTTGACAAAGGCACCAAGTCTACACTGGGGAAGAGACTGCCTCTTCAGCTAATGGTGCTGCAAAAACTGTTTATCCGTATGCAGGAGAATGAAACTAGACCCATACCTTTCACCATATACCAAAATCAACTAAAAATGGATTAAAGAATTAAATGTACACGCTGAAACAATAAAACTCCTTAAAGAAAACATACGGGAAACACTCCAGGAAGTAGGAGTGGGTACATACGTCATGAATATGACCCCCAAAGCACAGGCAACCAAAGGAAAAATAAACAAATGGGATTATATCAAGCTAAAAAGATGCTGCACAGCAAAAGAAACAATTATTAGAGTTAAAAGACACCCACCAGAGTGGGAGAAAATATTTGCAAACTATACATCTGACAAAGGATTAATATACAGAATATATAAGGAACTCAAACAACTTTACAGCAAAAAAACAAGCAACACAATTAAAAAATGGACAAAGGAGCTGAACAGGCATTTCTCAAAGGAAGATATACAAATGGCCAACAGACATATGAAAAAATGCTCAACATCACTCAGCATTCGGGAAATGCAAATCAAAACCACATTGAGATACCATCTTACTGCAGTTAGGATGGCTAATATCCAAAAGATTGAGAATGATAAATGCTGACGAAGTTGCAGAGAAAAAGGAACCCTCCTACACTGGTGGTGGCACTGCAAAATGGTGCAGCCTTTATGGAAAATAGTTCAGAAGTTCCTCAAACAATTACAGATAGATCTACCATATGACCCAGCTATTCCACTGCTGAGAATATACCCAGAGGAATGGAAAGCATCATGTCGAAGGGATACCTGTACTCCAATGTTTATTGCAGCACTATTTACAATAGCCAAGAGTTGGAACCAGCCCAAATGTCCATCATCAGATAAGTGGATATGGAAAATGTGGTATATCTACACAACAGAATTATGCTCAGCTATAAAAAAGAATGAAATACTACAATTTGCAGCAACATGGATGGACTTAGAAAAAATTACATTAAGTGACATAAGTCAGGCACAAAAAGAAATACCACATGTTCTCACTTATTTGTGGGAGCTAAAAATAAACAAACAGGGCAGGGTAGGAGAGAAGACACAACAATCATAATTCCTTGAACTTGTTAAGACAAATGAACAAAATAAAATAAAATTTAATAAATAAATAAATAAATAAATAAGGTGGTCAAGGCAAGCCTCACTGAGAAGGTACGATTTGAGCAAAGACTTGGAGGTAAGAAACATAGTCAAAAAGACATCCTGGGGGCCGGCCCGGTGGCGCACTGCTACAGTGCACCGCTTGGGAGTGTGGCGGCGCTCCCGCCGAGGGTTCGGATCCCACATACAGACTGGTTCCCGCTCACTGGCTGAGCGAGGTGTGGGCGCAGCGCCGAGGGTTGCGATCCCGTTGCCGGTCCCGGTCCGGTACGGGCGCGACACTGAGGGTTGCGATCCGTTGCCAGACACGAAAAAAGACAAAAAGGAAAAAAAAAATAAGACATCCTGGGGAAGAATATTTCAGACAAAAGGAAAGGCACATGAAAAGGCCCTGAGGCAGGAATGTTTCTGGTGTGTTCTAGAAACAGCAAAAAAGCCAGTGTGGCTGGAAGAGAGTAAATAGAGAAACAAGTAGATGGTTAGAAAGGTCCCACAAGTGGCCAGCCTGTGGCTCACTCGGGAGAGTGCGGTGCTGATAACACCAAGGCCACGGGTTCGAATCCTATATAGGGATCGCCGGTTGGCTCACTGGCTGAGCATGGTGCACTGACAACACCAAGCCAAGGGTTGAGATCCCCTTACCGGTCATCTTTTTAAAAAAAAAAAAAGGTCCCACAAATGTGGCAAAGAACTGCAGTATCAGCTAGGAATCTGCACTATACTCCAAATAAGCCTGTGAACTCTGATTAATATGAAAGAAAATGGCACCTTTTATTATTTATGAGTTCGAAAACTCTATCATCTGATTCAAAAAATAGTTATAGGATGAAACAAGATACTTGGAAAATTCATTTTAACACAAAATATTCTTAAAGCAGCACATTCCTCTTCTAGTGTATGATAGTCACAAGGCAGAATTCTTTAAAATTTATAAATTTATGCAACACTTTATAGATTAAATAAATCTAGAGTTTACTTAAAAGGCAACTTAGTTTTTCAGAAGAACAGGCTCATGTTAACTGAACACATTTATAATTTCAGTTACTACAAAACAATACTGAAAATGGGTGTGTGTGTGTGCAACAGCTTCATAAAAGATATACAAAAAAGAAAGTACGTTTATTAAATAAACTAATGCATATTAAGTAATTCCACAGACCTCTTCTTGAAAGAACCAGAGTGAACACAGGATGCAGAATAATTTTCCAAACTAATAAGCAATTTTAGAGGGGGAAAATTTTTCTGATTATATATATTTTTAAAACCTATGCCTGTTAAAAATCATTATTAACAATATTGAGGGGAAAGAGTTCACAAAAATGAATAAGAAAACCTCTGGAATCCCAAAATACAAACAGATATATGCATAACTTATAACACATTCAAACACACTAATAATCAATGAAATTAAAATTTACATAAGAGAAATTTTACCTTATCAAGTCAGCAAAGATTAAAAAATAAAAATACTAAATACTGGCAAGGACACAATTGATGCTTACACCCTCCTGGTAGGATTGAAAATCGATTACAGTTTTTCTTTCTAAAAGATCATTTAGCAATTCAAATTTATTATTTAACAAGCAAGATACATACGAAGGTAATAACTGAAAATAAATGCATAGACTAAGGAACAAATATTTAATTCCAATATTATTCATTATAACCAAAGGTTAGAAATAGCCTAACAGTACAAAACTGAGGGAATGGTTAAGTGATTTGTGTAGCAGAGTCATAATTTGGAGTCATTTAAGTAATGTTTGAGGAAATGGAGTACAGAGGCCTCTGGTTTCAACCCATGGCTGTACTCACCTCCACAGAGTAAGACATTTCTTCATTACAGTTGTCATTGATTTTCTCAAATAGTTCTTCACATAACTAGGGAAGCAGAATGAGAGCAGCATGAATAACACAAATCAGAGAAGTACTAAGTTATCCATGAGTGCTAAATAAATTAGTAAGACTCCTTTCTCTTTCTCTCTAAAAACATTAATGTCATAAACACCAAAGTATGATTAATGCTTTGAATGAAATAAAAGGAAAACTTATAATACACTTTTCTTATCTAATTTTAATTCTCCCCCAACAATAGTACCTCAATATTGTTTCCTTAGAAGGAAAGCCATGTTTAGGGGAAGAGACAGAATTACGTCTCTCATAAAAAGAGTTATGTCACTGGCACATTTAATTTTTATAAATTTAACACTTCATACTATACTAGAGTAACTGTGACTCTACTATCAGTACTATTGCAGCAGTAAAACTATTAAACTATATTTTACACACATTCATTACTTATATAAAATTTATTATATATTACTGGTTACTATATACATTACAAATTTATACATACATCTATAGAGAGAATTTATACTATTTCAGGGAGCAAATGAAAGTTTTTTTTGTTTTGTTTTTGTGACCGGTAAGGGGATCGCAACCCTTGGCTTGGTGTCGCCCGCACCGTGCTCAGCCAGTGAGCGCACCGGCCATCCCTATATAGGATCCGAACCCGCAGCCTCAGCGCTCCCAGCGCCACTGCACTCCCAGCGTTGCACTCTCCCAAGTGAGCCACGGGGTCAGCCCCAAATGAAAGTACTTTTAAGAATAATTTTGACTCCATAAAATTTTCCCTTACTGCTGTCTTAAGACTCCCACCCTTATGTGAGATGCTATTCTACTACACAATGGCATTTCTAACAGAAAATATTAATTTTTCTGGATCAGGAAAATTATAAACTTATTCGTTCCTATCCCTTGAATTTCTTATTTAAAATATGTGAAATTTTGGGCTGAGCCCGTGGCACACTCGGGAGAGTGCAGCGCTGGCAGCACAGCGACGCTCCCGCTGCGGGTTCGGATCCTATATAGGAATGGCAGGTGCGCTCACTGGCTGAGCGCGGTGTGGGCGACATCATACCAAGGGTTGCAATCCCCTTACCGGTCACGAAAAAGAAAAAAAAAATGTGAAATTTTAATAAAAGTAATTAATAAAAATCCTACTAAGTTTTCATTTGCTATACCTTTAGTATTAAGGCAATCATACATTATAGTGACAATCATACATTTAGGCAATATACATTTTGCAAATGAATTATATGTTCGTGATTCTCTAGAAGTCTAAATAGAATTTAAAATTTATTACAAATGGCAGTTTGTGTGTTTGTAAATAATGGCAGTTTATAAATAATCATCATCTTCTTTCTTATATAACCATACTTTGGCGATAAAATAGAACACCCCAATTTCTACCAGAAAAGAGGTACTTATGTAATTATAATAACAAATTAAAGTTAAAAGGAAAGGAAGGAGAAACTAAGTGTCGTAATGGGATAAAACAAATATGGCTATTTAGCACAAGTTGGTATAATCTACAAACACTAATTTTATTGTTGAAGAAGTACTGTATTACACAGTGGTAAAAGCAAAGACCACAGAACTAGCTTGCCTGCATTTGTATCTTGGCTCTGCCACTTACTTGGGCAGCTGACATAACCTCTCTATGCTTCAGTTTCCTCAGCTGTAAAATGGGGATAACAAAAGCCCCTACCTCTTAGGGTCATGAGGAGGATCAGATGAGCAATTATTTGTAAAGCAATTAGACCTATGCTTGGCAATACTGAGTGCTATATTATGTTTTCTCTAATTAGTATAATAATTATTGCTATTGCTATATACAAAGAAGCGTAATTCCCAAATACATGTCTTAATATAGACATATTAACAGAAAAAAAGTATGCTAGTATACTCAGTGTTTGCTAGTATGTTCAATGTTTCCTAAAAATTTCCTATTCTTATTAATAATTAAGCATTTCAGTTATACAGCTGAATTTAAAATTATAGTCCAATAATCCAGTAGAAAAAGCAGCTACCTTGTATTTTATTCTCCGAATATAGAGATGGTAGTGTCAGGCCTATAGTAAAAGAGCACTTTAAAATTAACCCCAAATATCATTAATAAAAGAAAACTATAGTCTTTTTATTAAAAAATGAAGTTCCTCCTAAATACTTTTCTCAGAACTCTTCTCCATTCCCAAACAAAAGATCAAAAGAAATAATATTAACTGCTCTTAAAAAAAAAGAAATCTCAGAGCTGGCTGGTTTGCTCAGTCAGAGCACAGCCTTGCAATACCAAGGTAAAGGGTCAGAATCCCCATGTTGGCCAGCTGCCAAAAGAAAAATAGAAAAAAAAAAAAAAAGAAATCTCAGGCTGTTCAAAGTCTAAAGTAATAGTATTTAATTAAGAAGATAAAATGAAAATATCTCTGAATAGGCCATCAAAAAACAAAAATAATCACGTTCATTAGAGAAAATATGTATATATATATATTTGGAATTTGAAAAAAATCAGATCAATAACATTCACTGGGCGTCCACAGGATGCAGAACAGAGTTTTAAAAAGCTGGTAGCCCCTTTCAAAAGGCAAAACAATACGGCATTGGATACATGGCAAAATCTTTACAGAACATTAACTTTCCCACCTTTAAAGACAGACATGTGTAACATTTCAATCTTTTCTACTCAACCGTAAGCTCCTCTGAGGGAAAGGGGCAGTTTGTTCATCTTTGTGCCTTGCATATAATAATTCCTGAATAAATGTTGCCAAATAAAAATAATAGTTAAAGCAATTTAAGACTAAGAGTAATGATGAACAGAGGTTTTTGTTGTTGTTTTGATTTTTACCTGTGGAATAATGCCAGCCTGGCTTTCTTCTTGTTTACCCATCATTGTATAAGATTTCCCAGCACCGGTCTGTCCATAGGCAAAAATACAAACATTATATCCCTCAAAGGCATGTAAGAGCATTTCCTTTCCTATGTCATTGTACACCCGGTTTTGAGATGCAAAACAGGGATCTTCAGGCTGTAAAGATTAAAAGGAGAAATAAAAGGCATTTTATTCATATTCTTTTCTATATTTATTTGATTGCTTCCAAATAAAAAGTGTTTGGAATCAGAAGAGTCACCTAAAATACACGATACATGTTTTAAGTCTCCCCTACATATAGTTTATTTTTCTCATTAAACACACACACACACACGCGCGCGCGCGCGCGCATTCTCTCTCTCTCTCTCTCTCTTAGAGTCATCCGGGTCAGCCATACATAAAAATATCTATATGAAATTATCTGGCATGATTACATTTCATTTTCCATAACCTTAAAATAATCACTATTCCATTCACAGGGAGCTCCAAGAAAATTCTCTTCAGTAGAAAAGGGGAATAAAAGTTCAAAGATAACATCCGCATATAAAAAATACTTCTTTGAACTCACTCCAGCTAGTGTGGCTATTTCTTAAAAAACACAGTTTTCAGTGATGAATGTTACCAATGCCTTTCACACACCCTTCCCTTGGCAATTAGGCTTTGTCCACAGTTAAAAATATCTCCTATTCCCCAACACAAAACAGGAAAAATAAAAACAAAAATGCATAATAAAAAGATGGATGATTCAGTAGCAAGATTTGGGATTCTATACTGCATAAGGATACTGTGAAGGGCCCTACTCCCCATTTTCCTAGAGGTTGGTAATCTTTTGTTTTCCTTGTGGACATTGAAGCTCTTTCAAAATGTTTAAAACCTGCATTGTCCTACTATAATTTTTTAAAAAGTAATAATTTCACCATTCCAATCTTATCAGCCATTCCCTCAAAATTTAACTTCAAATTAACATGTTAAGCAATCTTTAATTTGGTGCTTGCTTTGTAAGATCTGTAAGTACAATAATGTTCATAATGAGGATCCTCAGAAACTGATAAATAAATTTTCAAAGGATGTCAAAATCAGACTAAATTAGGTTCAGAATAAATTTAGCGTAAACTAAATCAGTTTTATATGTATGTATATGTGTATGTGAGTGTGCATGAACTTTCCATCAACCAAAAAACTTTTTTAACAAAAAGATTTTGTTCTTCAGACAGTATTCACTATATCAAAACAGGAACTCATGCTAGACCACATTTACAAAACAAAACATGGTCCTGCTTTGGCTCAGAGAAAAGACAAATAGAAAAGGAAAGGGGAGGCAGGAGATGGCAGCACGCTGCACCACAAGTACACTCACCGAGGTGTGAGACCAGTAAGAGTAGTCGAAGCTGAAGGACTTTGGAGCTTCCTTTGGGTTCTTTGGGTTAATAATACCTAAAGGACGAAAATGTTTAATTTTGTAAGTCACTCAGTTACACATTCTTTAGTTCAACGTGATATAACAATGTATATACAAAACATCCAAATCAGTAAATTCATACCACTGAATCTGAATAGGGCAATCAAAAAACAAAAAAATCACATTTTAAGAGGTAATTTTTATATAGAACTTGAAAAAAATCATACCAACAACATTCATGTGGTGTTACTAGTATTCAGAACAGAGCCTGGTACATAGTAGATGCTTAGTAAACACTTTGTGACTGAATGTTTATTCTCCCTAGGTAAGTTAACAGCCAAAATTTGGAAATGGGCCACATTACTATTTCAAGGCCCCTCATAAGGCTTGAAATATTTCAACACATCAGACACAAAAATTAGAAAATTACTGAATCAATCCAATCACTATTTGAAACCTTTTTTAAAGATCTTACTATATACTTCAGAAAAGCACTTGGTAATGAATCAAGCTTTCATGGCAAAGACAGTCATTTCTAAAATCCACAGTTAGGGGCCGGCCCGGTGGTGCACTGCTACAGTGCGCAGCTTGGGAGCGCGGCGGCGCTCCCGCCGAGGGTTCGGATCCCACATACAGAGCGGTTCCCACTCACTGGCTGAGCGAGGTGCGGGAGCAACACCGAGGGTTGCGATCCCGTTGCCGGTCCCGGTCCGGTATGGGCGCGACACTGAGGGTTGCGATCCATTGCCGGACACGAAAAAAAGACAAAAAGGAAAAAATAAAAATAAAAAAAAATAAAATAAAATAAAATCCACAGTTAACAATAATAAATATATGTTACTACATATAGATGTATATATGTGTATGTGCATATACAGTGGAATCACAGACTACTAAATCACCTATGGAATGTTATAAACAGCAAAATTACTTTTTTACTAAAAAGCACGAAGTCTCACTGCCTATATTAAAAGTGATTTCTCATGTAATTAATCCAGTCAGTTCAGGGACTGACTGTGAATGTTGACACTTCATCTTTCTTCCTTACTCATACACACAAAGCTTTAACTCCTCATACTTCACATAGAACAGAATCTTTATAACATGTGGTCATGAAATCTCCTCAAAGACTGGACATCTCAACTAATCCACGTCTCTAAGTCAGGGCCACATCCCAGGGTATCTGTGAGATCAGGATTAAAAAATAAATCTGTCTCGGCAGCTGCTGCTCAGGACACAAATAGCAACAGTTGCTATGGTGCCTAGTTCTCTCTCTTGCTGGATTCCACTGGGTATGGCCACACACACACTTATGTTCCAACCTCAAATGCTGACAGAGTATTAATAAGGCTCACACTGTGCATAATCATGTGACAAGGAGACATGGTTCTAGAAAGAACATCTCCCTACACATACACACACAGATGGTAATCTAAGCAAAGAAGTACACTTCTAACCACAAGGTACTACATACGAGACTTAAATAGCAAACATTCACAGAACACTTACTCCGAACTGTAAGTACTTTCTGTCTATCAGTCTATTTAATGCTCCTAACCACTCAATGAGGCAGATGTTTTATTATCCCCATCTTACAGATAAAGAAACCATCATAGAGAGGTTAAATAACCTACCCAAGGCTACAGAGCTAGCTAGTGGCGAATACAGAATGTGAATTTAGAGAGTCTGGCTCCAGAGCTCACACTCTTAGCCAAAACACCATCCCTTAAATGCTTATTCCCTACATGCAGGGTTGCCAAGGCAAAAGGCAGTAAGGCATTCCTATGTATATGAATATGCACATATTTATGAATATGGCCACCCCCCTAAAATTATACCACAGGCATTGTTTAAAACTCTTCATTCATTTAAAACTGGGAACTACGAAGATTATAGTGGCTAAGAGATGAAAGACCACAAAAACGCTACCAAGAAAAAGGAAATTAGCATCAGGCTACATGAGCCAGATTCTAGGTTTCAGTGGCTCAGCAAGAGCAACACTGATGAGACTCGGGGCATGCCCTCTGAAGCAGTCTTCACCACTCAATAACATGGTTACAATAAACACTTCTAGCCTCCAGAAAATCTGATATCATAAAACTTATAAGCCATATTTCATTCAGCCTTTTAGCTACCAATTCTGCCAACAACTTAGGAAAAGACTAGTTCTCAGATCCTACTCCTTTGTTCTCTTTTCCCCAGTAAAGAAAAACTACACCAATGAGTTAACTTCTTGATTCACACGAAATCCTTTTCCTCTTCCTCAATATTCCCTACTCCCAGATCTTTCAAGGTCCTGAAACTAACAAATTTTCCTAAGTTACAGCTTCAGAACCAAGCTGCTTTTTAAAAAATTACTGCCTCTAGCAACAAAAGCATTTTAAAAATGTTTAAAATAAGTAAACCAAAACGCAAATTTACACAGCTATTTATACAATAGTTTTGTCACACAAGATTAAATTTACACAGATTTCAATTCCTCCTTCAAAAATAAATATATATGTGATACTTTAGAACAATGCAAAAATTCAATATTGTTGTTACCTCTTTCAGGGGAGGCTTCAGAATGCAGTGTTAATTTCTATATCTTGTTATATATCTATACCTATAGCATTGCTTATTTTACTCTATATTTACATATACATTGTATTATCCTGCATATATGATATAATAAAAACATTTAAAAAAAAATTGGGGCCGGCCCGGTGGCGCACTGCTACAGTGCGCTGCTTGGGAAGCGCGGCGACCCTCCCGCCGAGGGTTCGGATCCCACATACAGACCGGCCCGCTCACTGGCTGAGCGAGGTGCGGAAGCAACACCGAGGGTTGCGATCCCGTTGCCGGTCCCAGTCCGGTACGGGCACGACACTGAGGGTTGCGATCCGTTTCCGGTCACGAAAAAAGACAAAAAGGAAAAAATAAATAAATAAATAAATAAAATAAAAAAATAGAACTTGCAAATTAAAAAGATTCTCATAAGGATAAAATATTAATGATAGCACTTGAGCTCATCAGAATTCTCTAAAGACCATAAACTCCACTATTACTCCCATGGACAATGAATTTGTGTTTTCAAATATGCCAAAGGACTTTTCTTTCTGAATTAATAATGGCTGAGATCTAACTCACTTCCTTTAACCCAACTAAGAAAGAAACCGAATGTTTGCAAACATTAAAGTGGCGGGGGGAGAGGGTGGGGTATAGAATAAAGACCGTAAGATTTGGAATAAAGGACCAGCATCAGTACCTACATATCGATATCTTGTAATATTTTAAACATATAAATATTATATTCAGATTTTTTTGTAACATTGGGTATTATATTGCTTTTGCATTCTCTCTAAAATTGAAATATCTAGTTCACAGAATTAAATGTGTAAAGCACTACACAAATGTTAATTTTCAAAAAGAAAAAGGGCATTTTTACCCTGTTTTAAACGCTCTCAATATTTGGTGGGCATAAAAACAATATTTAATGGTCTTTACACCAAAGCAAGAAAAGCTCATTAACTAATAAGGTAAACAAAAGCATAATATAAGATTTCTATTTCTTGGCAAGAGTAAAGTACTACACTCAGGTCCCTTGTTACATGCAATCTCTGGTGCTCCTACCACATCATAAATCCCATAAGTACATGGATCATGTCTTATGGGTCCTCTACACCTTCCCATACCAAACAGGTAGTCAGATGATTATTTACCATATGTCATGGAGAATTTTAGTTTGATTAAATCCTATACCACTTTCAGGAACACAGAAAGAAAAACCAAAACAGTGCATACCTGTGCAACATATACATAAATTACCAGTAGATTTTATCAACTTTCACTGAAAGAATAGAAACAAAATTGCATTACTGAAAGACTGGGCAATAATTAACACATTGGTTCTTGTATCAAGGTCAACTGAGCTAAAATACAGTGTGTAGGACTTCTAATTAGTTTCTCAGAAAGAATGCACATAATGGAATTATAGTAACTAATGAATACATTCAACATATAAACCATATTTTTGCCAACATAAAAGCTGTTAAAAATGTAGCATCTAGGGCCGGCCCGGTGGCGCACTGGATAGTGCGCCCGCTTGGGAAGCGCGGCAGCGCTCCCGTCTGAGGGTTCGGATCCCACGTACAGACCGGCTCCCGCTCACTGGCTGAGCGAGGCGCGGGAGCAATGCCGAGGCTTGCGATCCCGTCACCGGTCCCCGGTCCGGTACGGGGGCAACACTGAGGGTTGCGATCCGTTGCCGGACACGCAAAGACAAAAAAAAAAAAAAAAAAAAAATGTAGCATCTACCCCCAGGGTCATGTGTCATCAGTACGTAGGCTTTGTCTGGGACAAATCACCACTTTTCCTGCAAAGAGTAGATTCCTGGCATATTTTTGAGGAGTTAGAACACAACTCTATTTTAAGCACTGTAGACTTAAAATTGCTTTATATCCTGTAAAACCTCCTTTTCATGCCATTTTTCAAGGACCCTTTGTACTTCCTGTGCCTGAGGCCTCCTCTCCAATCAAGATTTCTTTGGATACACAGTATACCCCAGACCTGGACCTACCCCCCCATAAGCCACTTTTCACAGATGATCTGGGAGTCATCTTTGACTTTCTTCTCTCGCCCTACACATCCGATCTATCCTGTCAGTTCTACTTTCAAAATATATCCAGGATCCCACGGCTTCTCACACCACCATAATTACCAGCTTGGTCTATGCCACCACCTCTCTCACTTAGATGACTGCAATACCTCCTGACTGGAGTATGGAGGCTAGAGTATGGAGGCTAGACTGGAGGAACGCATGACTAGAAGTATGGAGACCAATTACACTGAACACATCAACCACTGCACAATGTTTGGGAACTCTGCTGGCCATCTGTATCATAAAATGACTCCCATGAGAACTGCATCTGGCATCAGAAATCCATGAGTCCCCATATGTGATATTTTTGGGGGTGAGAAGGGAGAAGGATCCATTCCTACATCAAAAACATTGTGTCCCTTGATCCAAGACTAAACTTTTTCCTACAATTTGACC